CCCCACCACCCACCACGTCTGACACGTATGGCATATCAGTGCTGCGAGCTCTAGTACTATAATATGATATAACTTCTTTGGCCCACGCACATAGAACCTGTATGGTCTGTCTCTCTCTCAGTCTGCCTACGAGTTACTGGGTAGCGACACTGGGATAATTTTTTTTCTTTATTGCACCGTTGTGCATTTCGCTTGTTTGTATAGCCTTTTTCTCTCTGAATATGACCGTTATTGTTTCGATGAGCAATTAATAACGCATTCAGGTTCCGATCTGTCTTTCAATCTTTTCTTATCCTAAAATCTTCTTCAGTTCGTCTTTCTGTCCGTCTGTTTGTTTCTCAGCTTGTCTCCATATTATCTATCATTATACTCTTCTCTCTGTTTCTTCATCTGTCTACCGGTCTTTCTATCTTTATTTTCCTTTTCATAACTAGGTCTTAATCTGTTGGTCCATCTACATGTCATGCCTTCTGTCTTGTCGTGCTATTTTTTAAAGGAAAATAGAAACAAAAGAAAACGACAAAATAAAACACCAAGTGTACGGAATCCCCCCCCCCCCCCCAACCCCTTTTTTTTCACCTTTAAATTTTCTTTATAAATAACAACCCAAGAACGTAGTGGCTGTAGCGGAAAGTGAAATTGTTCGGCTGAGTGTTTCCTGGTGGGAAGCAACAATTGTTACTCCGTCTGACTGCACATCTGGCTACTTAGAATAAATGAACACATCCTTGCCAGTGAAGTCATGATGAAGAAAGTCGGTTAGGGGCTCTCGTTGCCTTGGGGTTAAGGTGTTCGCCTCTCATTTAATAGGTCTTGGGTTTGAATCCAGATAGCAACGGAAACTTTTCTTCTCGAAGATGTTCTCCTTTCACCTCCTTTCCTGCTCTCTAACAATGTTCTGTCGTCTGCTTTCGTCTCCACTTTCTGACCCCATCCCCTCACCTCCTTAGCCCCCTCCTCAGGGCTCCTGGCTCTTTCTGCAGCCTTTCTACTGCTTCTCGGACAAGGGCGAACAATTTGTTTGGTCTCGGGTGCAAGTTTGCGCCCGTTAAAGATCCTTTAGTGGGCCCAAATCGATAAGAGTATGCTTCGGCCGCCACACGAGCAAAATTCAAAATTTCCTACCAACTGAAAATGTTAGGTGTGTGCCGCGCTCTCTTGTGACTTTATGCAGTTGTGAGGGCCGTTAAACACTTACCCTCCCCCCCAAAAAAACCACCAAAAAAAACCAACAAAAAAACTCCCATAATGAGACACATTTCAAGCCTTGCGTGTTTTTGTTAGGAGGCTCACATCGTTAGCGGGTGGTTGGAGGGTGCCACTGGTAGGTCCTACTTCTTTACTTTTCCTCAGTCGTTTCTCTCTTCTGTCTGTCTTACTTTTTCCCTGAACAATTTTGAGAAAATCGAAGGTAAAATTTTTGCCCCTTGTTCCGATTCTAGACTTTTCTCTATAACCAAACAAATTAAATATAACACCAATGAAACCAAACTTCTTGCACAGGTAGGGCTTTAGGAAACCCCGGAAATCTTGGTCAGCCCGCTTGTCCTTAAAAGCGACCATTTATTTTTTATTTGCTTTACTTTCGACGTAAAAGATCGCAGTGCCTGCCGGATTTCTCCAGAGTTTCACAAGGTGTTTCCCTGACTTCGGTCTGTTACTTCTCTATGGTGCTCCAAAGACTGCGATCAATGGGAGGTCTACCATTAACGTGTGGCTTGAATTTGCTCCGAGGGTGTTATGAAAACATTCAGAAATTATGTTATTATGTAGAAAAGAGGAAAGACTTGCAAAGCCAAAATAATATGATACGGTCCGATATAATAATAATATAGCTTTAGGTGTTAATATCTGACGAGAGTTAAAAGACTGCTGACATTTATTAGTTTTTTCAAAGCTCATTTATTGAGCCTTTTTGTGGTTCAACGTAGATCAAATTATAAGTGAAATCTAAGGGTTGAGTCTGACTGGCGTACCTCTCCCCGATCGTGATAGGAAAGAAGTTAAAAGATTAGGCAAATGTATTGCTATTTGAAAGGAAAATGGGTAAATATTCTTGCCAATCGCCCAATGGTAAAGGGATGAATCATTTATTGACTGAATGTATGTATAAAGGAATATTATATCAATTGAAGCGATGTAATAAGTCTGGTAAAAAGAAAGAGATGTCACACGAGTGCGCACGCACGTGTATACGCGTGCACACACGTACACTTACACACTATTATATGCACACACGCTCGCGCACACACACACACACACACACACACA